TGAGATGGGATGTGTCACGGCTCGGGTTGGGGCATCTAGGATGCGGGGCAGGGCTGTGGACACCGTCCTGCCTTGTTTGGCCAAAACTAACGCTATTCCATCTCGACCTGCCGCCACCAACTGGGGCGGCCATGATACCTACCTACTCAAGAGGCTTAGAGCCTTGTTGATAGCAAAGAGCAAAATATTGCATCAGCCCATGCCAAATTATCACGAGTTCTCAACTGCAATGATCAACTCCGTCTCGGAGCGGCAGCCACCGTTGTGCTTCAAATTAGCCTATTCGGCACGGCCACGGATGGAAGTCCCGAAGTGGCAGCCAAGACCAACATTCGATACACTTGTCGAGAGAAACCCGTAGAGGACAGAAAGCAGTGGCCGCAAAATAGTAAACGTAGCTGTGAACAAAAGCAACCTCCAGATCCGACTCATCCCGAACCTCAGGGGCAGATATCAACAGACAGCCCCAACACCAAAATGCACCTCTCCAGAATCACCCTCTCCCTCGCCCTCCTCCTCCACGCCGCAGCACCAACTCAGGCCTGGGACCACTTGGACCGCTCCCACCCGTCCCGCCGCACGCCCCAGGCCTTCCGCTGGACCCGACCCTTCCTCGACCTCGACCTACACGCCATCCCCGACTCCGACTCCTCCTCCTCATCCACCACCACCACCTCCCCATCCCGCATCAACCGCGACGTCCCCGGCGGCTTCCACGTCTCGTGCAGCGCGACTGCCACCTTCCGCGCGCGCCAGTACACGGCCGCCGACCTCCCCGACCCTTATCCCGAGCGCGGGCTCGCGCCCTGGGCCGAGGCGCTGCGGCGGTCCGCGCTCGACGGGACCGGCAGCGCCGCGTACCCGGGCGGCTGGGACGGCGACGAGCTGCGCGGGGGCGAGCGGGTGCTGCTGCTGATGGAGCTGACCGACGTGCCGCCGACTGTGCGCGCCTTTGTTGAGCACGACGGCGTCGACGGCTACTCGGGCCGGCGGTGGCACTTTGGCGTCCACGACAAGCCGGGCGCGCCCGAGGGGACGGCGGCCGCGGGGGACAAGGTCATGATATTTGCGCCGGGGGCGCTGTATGACATCTTGCCGCTGTGGGTTGCCGACAGTAGCCGGTGTAGGAGTGAGTTTTTGGCTTGGCCCTTGCTCGTTTACTTTGTCAGCTTATTAGACTAACAACCAACCCCCATCATCTAGTACAACTGGTCGACCTCGAAAAGTACGTGACGCACGCGGCGCACAACCGCGTCATCGCCTGGCCCATGTCGCACTCAGACCCGGACCCGGCCAACAGGACCATGACGTTCGAGATCAAGGCCGCCCTGCTGCTCGAGACGGTGCAGGGGAGGCAGCACCGGGAGGCGTGGGAGAACGTACACCTGCAGGCCAGCAGGGCCGAGAGGCGGCTGCAGCGGCAGGAGAGGGAGGAGGGCAAGGGCCGGCAGAGGGTCCACGGGAACCACGACGAGCTGTGATGGCGTTGGGTTTTTGTGCCGAGCTATAAAGGCGTTGTGTGATATTACGGTGTTAGGATTATGCGGTGGTGATATGAGGATGAACCAGCGAACTGGGAAGATACAGTCTGGGTGGAAAAGAAGGAGTGTCAAGAAAAGCAACCCAAACGGCAACGGTTCGAATGTCAAGGCCTCATCGTCACCTAGGTTTCAAGGCATTTAATATAACCAGGCAGACAAACATCCTCAGACCCTCGGCGGCGAGTCCGTCAGCGGCACGTAGCGCACCCCAAACAGCTTGCGGCTCGACACCACCCCGCCCGCGTCCCTGTCCACGACCCAGACGTGCTGTATCTGCGACCCGGGCGCGTCATCGACTGGAATAAACATCCTCCCCGGCGTCCTCAGCTGCGCCAGCAGCTCCGGGTGCATCTCGCGCGCGCTGGCCCCTACGTGGATCACGTCCCATCCCTCCTCCTCCTCCCCACCTTCCTTCCACCCCTTGCGCCCATCCCCGACCACGAACCGCGCCCGGCCCGACTCCAGCAGCGCCCTCCCCTCGGCCGATTTGCGCATGTTCGCCTCGCCCAGGTCGCGCAGCTCGGAAATGTGCTCGACACCAATAACGACGCCGCGGGGCCCCGCCAGCTCCGCCAGTATGTGCGTGAGGTACCCGGACCCGGAGCCGACGTCGAGCACGCGGGGGGCCGGGTTCGCCGTCGTCGGCAGCACGCGGTCGTGCAGCTGCTGGACGGCCGTGGCGTGCATGTGTGGCGCCGAGATGGTGGCGCCGTGGCCGATGGGCTGGGGCGAGTCTTCGTAGGGCCTGTAGGGCGCGTAGTGCGCCCGGTCCACCTTGAGGAAGGCGTCCTTGACGGCCGCCGACTTGATGATGTCCTCGCGCGCGAGGTTCCCCACTAGGCTGGCGTTGGACGTGCCCGTGCACTGCCACGCCATCTCGCGGGGGCGCGTCGCCGAGTATATCGAGCCGCGGACGGTGATGTGCACGACGGGCCGGAGGGGCGCTTTGGGCGTGAACAGCAGCGGGGAGGGCGCTGAGCTCGGCCTTTGACCGAGCAAAGGTCGCAAGCAGGCCAGGTTGGGTAATGGATATCCCGATGCCTTTTTTTTTTTTAACGTTCCTGGCTTCGTGTGCGAAAGGGCGTTGGTTTTTCTTGTTTCCAGGACGAGAAATAGTAGACAGTCTACGCGATGGATTGCTGCGAGATGTTACAACACGGGGGCGCTCATTCAAGCAAATCCTCGAGAGCGACAATACCAAGGCAAGACCATCGATACCTCCCTGCAAAGCAAGCCGATGATGTACGGCTGCTGCCCCGCGCCGTCCCATTCCATGTCCTGGCTGCTCTGTTTCCCCGCCTAGCAGGCACGTCAGCTGGCCTGGGTTGGGGTTGGTGCATGATCCTATGTGTCAACGTGACTTCATAGGTGAGTAAGTACTCACTCATTGAACCGTCGGTCATCACAGCATTCACCAAAGGTACTGAGTGACAGACGGTTACAGCTTATTGCATTTCCTTGCATCGCCACGTTGATGGCATGACTTTCTGTGATACTGATACACTCGGGCTCAAGGACGACTTGGCTCAACTCGACATGCTGGACACCGTAGGTGGCTGACAGCTAGGTAAAGAGGAAATGAAAGCTCTAGGAAACAAATTTACCGGGAGTGGTGGATGTTGTGCAGGAGGATCTGCCGGAGTGATCCGAGGGACGGAAAGAAAGAGAGAAAGACAACGAAAGAAATAAGACGTGTATGCTAGACGAAGAAACGGTGCTCAAACAACCCGGTCGGGACTCTCCCCCTCGGCAACAATGGCGACGCCAAGCCCGCGATCCGGGCTCTGCAGTACCAGCTGCTCGTGTCTCCTCGCCCGGATGTAGTCGCTGAGGGCCCGGATGAGGACGAACCAGCCCACGATCATGAGGATGTACGCGATCCACTCTGTCCCCGCGATTCCCGCGTTCGACCCTGAGCTCGAGTCCCCGCCGCCGCCGCCGCCAGTCCCAACGTTGTTGGGGTCAAAGTCGTGCGAGTTGGGGTCCGGAGGGTTCGCGTACCCATCCGAGCTCCCACTCCCGGAGCTGCCCGGGGTGTTTTTCATGTAGAAGCCCCACTGGATCAGGGTGATGCCCAGGCCGCTACGCGAGCCGTTCTTGGCCGCGTGCGACGAGTGAAGCAGATACGTGAGCAGGAACCCGATCAGCGGCTGGATCGACACCGAGATCAAGCCGTTCCACACAAACGAGAAGAAGGACCCGACGGGCATGCCGTCTATGTACACCTCGTCAAGTCCGCCGAGTCCGGGCCCGAGAATAGTCGTCTCCCAGTATGGCGGTGCCGAGTCTGCAGCAGCCTGTTCGTACGTCTGTTGGGGGAGGGATAAGTTAGTCATGAGCTTTGTCGTGTGGTTGATGGTCTGTTCAGGCAAAACTCACCGGTGGCTGTTCCTCCTTCTCCTCCCCGCGCTCCGGCTTCGCCATGATGTTCGAAAAGACGCCATCCGATTGAATGCCACCACCGTAGACCCGAAACGGCGTCGAGGCAGCCCCGGGCGGCGGTACCGTCGCCGGAGCGCGGGCAGGCACGGCGGGAGCGCTACCTGCGGTGGCCGGCTGCCCAGACGTTGAGCTCGACGACGAAGGCGTGAATGCCGCCAATGGTGATTGCGGGGCGCCACGCACGAGGCGCTGGGTGTCGTCGACCTCGTCGTCGCTATCATCGCCGCTGTCGAAGGCGTCGGCGAGCGCCGAGTCTACCCTGCCCTGTCGCGCATTGTTGTCTCGATCTCGCTCGATGGATATGATGGACGACGCCCTCGAATGGAACGACGGCGGGGGCGAGTTCGGTATCCTTTGCGTCCGGGAGGGAGTGTGGTCGTCCTCTTCATCGCGGGCATTCACCTAGTCGCCGTGAACAAATCATGTTAGCTATCATGCGATCCAGAGTCAGATCTAGATTGCCTGCGCAGTCTGTCAAAGGCAACCTACCCGTTCATAACGCCCGGCCATGATGGAACCGTGGTAACCGTCCGGTTTGTTGTGTATTCCCCCTCGCGTGGACTGCAGAATATCGACTTTGATTGATGTTGAGGCGGAAGGGAGCCGGTTCGTGAGATGGATTCGATGGTTTGCTTGATGTGCGCCGGGTGGTGGAGGTGGTGGTGCGTCACCTTTGTCACCTCGTGCACATCAAACTCCGAAAAGCCGGAGGGAGCCAACCAGACAGGTGGAATGTCTATGTTGGTGGCGGCGCGAGCTTTCGTGGTTGGGGCGAAGGGGGAAACCCAAAACAAAGGCCAAAATGACTTTGGCCCGAAAGGAGACGGAAGAAAGAGAACGAGAAAAAAAAAGAGAACAAGGAGGGACGAATAGGCGAGAGAAGACGCAACGGGGCAGAAATGGATGATGCTTGGTTCGTGTCGGCGACGCCTAGCCGGCTGTGCTGCAGTCGTCAGTCGTCGGCGGCTCCAGGTAAATTTGCGGATTAGGGGCTTGATAGGGGGCCCTGGGGACTGCGACCCTGCGACACGATAGTGCGGGCGTACGCGGCTGCTGACCAGAACCAAGGGTGCTGGAATCTTCGGCAACAAGAGACAGGCTCCCCCCGCCAAGCTCTCCAAGACTCGCCACCACCAAGACACTAAGCCCGTCCTGGCCACCGGTCACGTGGTCCCCAAGCACTCGCATTGAGCCCACCTGTGGCGCCCGGACCGGGCGCTGACTTGCAGCCCTGCAGGCCCCCCNCCNCCNCCNCCNCGCGCGCGCG